AGGAAGCTACAGTTCAAATAAAAGATACGAAATGGACCGATCAGAGGCACGAGCAAATCTGAAAAAACCAACAACTTTTTGTCCAAGCTATCCTGATCAACCTCAACTTTGCAGAGAATGTTTTAATGTTATACACTGCGAATAATTTTTTTAATAAACCATTTTTATAAGAATTCAATCGTTTCATTACCTCCTGTAGAATATTTGTCCAAATATTTTCGGAAATCCTTTGTAAGTAGTCAAATCAGCGTCACCCGAATTACGGGTGACGTGGCCTGATGAGAACTTTTGCTGTCACCCGAATACGGGTGACGCGGCAGTCAACGTGTTAAACATTGTTTTTTGATGGGGAAAGATACTGTTGAAGCCAAACATCAACTATTATCGACTGGTATGATAAAATTAAACGCGGTCGTGCAAACACCGATGATGCTGAACGCTCTGATCGTCTAAAATCGGCAGTTGTTCCGAAAAAAATAAAAAAAGTCCACAAAATAGTTTTGAAAGACCGTATAGTGAAATTGCGTGAGATAGCTGACCCCTTAAAGATGTCAGAAGATAGCGTGTTTACAATTTTGCACAACAATTTGAGCATGTGTAAATTGCTTTCGAAGTGGGTGCCACGTTTGATCACACCGGATCAAAAACAACAACGTGTCGACGATTCGGAGCGCGGTTGAGCGATGGTTAAATCGAACGAATTACGCTTCGAATTGCTTCCCCACCCACCGTACTCTCCGGATCTAGCCCCCAGCGACTACTGGCTTTTTGCAGACATTAAAAAGATGCTCCAGGGAAAGAAATTTGGCTCAAATGCTGAAGCGATTGCCGAAACGGAGGCCATTTTGAGAACAAAGACAAATCGTTCTACAAAAAAGGCATCGAAAAGTTAGAGGAGCGTTGGAACGAATGTATCACTCTTGAAGAAAAGTACGTTGACGAATAAAGTCGAATTTCTAAAAAAAAAATTTGTTTTTCTTAGCTAGACCGGAGACTTATCAAGTGATGTGTTATAAAATAACTATAAATTAACGCGACTCTAAATTATCCTAACGATAAATTCGGCCAGTAAACGATACAATTCTTCACGAATATCCCCGACTGCGAGTCCGACGAATAGTTTTCGGTGATTAACGGTCCGACGACCACCTTCGCCATCAAACCCGGACCTTTTCTCTTCGGTCAAGGCTGTCTGCAGCTTCCCTAACCTGAAAACCGTTCACGGAAATATCTACGGGACGAGAGCAGGGACGTTCGTAAAAAGAGGCGTGCGACGTTAATGATCGGTTTCTTTCGTCAGTTATCATTTTACGGGATGATCTAACGCGGCAATCACGCGAAGGATCTCATTAAATCTTCTCGGCCAGATCTCGCCGGGGTAATCATACTTTTCTTCGCGATCCATGCCGGAAAAATCGTGGAGAGCGAGGTATGAATTACAATTGAAATTAATACTGAAATTAGAGGCTGCGAGGTCTTTAAATCGGCGGCGATTATTAAAGGCGATCCTACTTCGCGATGGTTAAATGATCTCTTCAACGAAATAACTCAGCTTTTTGCGAAAGTTCTTTGCTCGTTTCCATTCCTTTGCACTCGTCTGTGATACTTTCAAGTTATTATAGGCTGTTTATTGTGTTCCATGCGTTTTCCGATCCTCGTTTATAATTCGTTTAGTAGGGGAAGCTGCATTCTTCGTAATTACCCCGAATAAATTGAAAATATACGATGAAACGATGCAAAATTGCAGCGTAGACGCAAAATGAATTAATTAAGATATTGCGATAAATAGATAGCATTTTTATTCTATTTTCTTATAAACTTTTATTCGTTGCCAAAAGAATGTTCTTCATCTTCGTTTTAGTAAGTAACTCGAACGAGAGGGTAAAACAGTATATTGATAATTGACAATAATACAAAGATGCAGCTCTTAATTGAACGTAACTGTACTTCTCTATCAAATAAAATATGTACATTATCAGTGAGCCCGTCAAATTGAAGGGAAAATATAATTTTCTATTCACAGATAATGTCGAGGCACAACTACTCTTAATTGTGAACCCAGGAAAATTCATGAACGATCTACGTTAGATAAATGAACGCAAAATAGCGTTCGGGGATCGGCGACGACGGGCCCGCTCGAGAAAAAAAATGTATAATTCGTTTCCTGGGCCCCTCGAATGCCGAACACGTTTCCCACCTGTCTTGTCCACACTTTCCCCTTGTACTTTTGGCCCGTGGTCGCGAATCCGTCGGCCGGTTTCGACCTGTTCCAGTATTAATCGGAGAAAAACCCGCGGTGGCGCCTGCCCGCCATTTTTCCTTTCGTTTCTGGCGATCGGCACGGGCATTTTGTAACCGATCGACCGTTTTGTAATCACCGGCTGCCTGCGCCGCGGTGAACGATCCCCGGCACGCTCGTCGGAATGACAATTCGATCGGAAATCGGCGGCGATCAATTCCTGGTTCGAAAATTTCCACGCGCCGTCACGATCCTTCCGATCGATCGATCGATCGACAAATCTTACATTAAACTGGCTTCGAACCAACCAACGTTGAAGTCGTTATTTACGCATTTATAATGTCTAGAAATATTTATGACGGAACAATAAACGAGGTTTCGATGTTTATCTTTTGTGTCGACACAATGATTTACGCAAAGTGCGGACGAAGGAAAATTATATTTTCCCTTCAATTTGACGGACTCGCTGGTAATGTACAATACATACTTTATTTTATAGAGAAGTACAGTTTCGTTCGATTAACCAATTAGC